ATTATTGAGTAATCTGATTATTATAAGTTATTAAATAATAAAGCCCCCCCCCATTAACACTGACCTTCAATGAAAGAGCGTTTGTAGGCGGTGGGTGTGTACTCGGGGATTCTGGGTAAACCTTCGTCTTCAGTCTGAGGTTTGATACACGGGAGGATGAACGCCAGATGTTTCAACCCCCTCCTCCTCTTCTTCCTCTTCTTCTTCTCCTCCTCCTCCTCATTCTGGGGGGGGGACGGTTTCTCGTCATGCGTGGCGCCCATTTGTGCCACCAGTGTGTTCGGGGGGGCCGGGTCAGCGACCTTTTGCGGGCGCCTCCTCTTGGCGTAGGCCCGCAGCAGCCTGAGCTCCGGACAGTCCTCCGAGGTGGATCTGGTCTCAGGGCCGGTGCTGCTGGTGACGTCACCGCGGTCGGGGAGGGGGTCGTGGATCTCAACGTGACCGTTGGCCATGTTGGTTTACTGTCGGTGAGAAAGATCAGGATCAGGGTCAGAACCAGGGTCAGGATCAGGGTCAGGGTCAGGGTCAGAACCAGGATCAGGATCAGGGTCAGTTTGTATTAATGAGGTTAAAGCTGCTCTGATTCTTTAATACCTTTTATTATCGGTCTTCTATCAATCAGATCATTCTAATCAATAATCTATAAATACATATGTTTCAGGCTTTCAACAGTCTGAGGAGGTTCTGTTGGTCTGAGGAACTTTCTGAGGATGGAACTTATCAATAACAATAAACAGTTAAAGTTACTGCACTTATTAACTTGTAATAAAGTTTTCTGTTCTTGGTTTCATTCTGATCATCACTTTTATCAAATGGCGCCCTCTGCTGGAAACTACAGTGAAGCATCAGGATCATGTTGAGGCATGTTCCAACAGAACCAACAGAACCAGGATCAGTTAGTTACCTGGAACTTAATCTGAGTATCACAATGATAAAGTAACTTATTACTAACTCATTACTTTAGGATTAACTGAACACCAGATAAAGAACATATATTAATATTAATATTAATACTACTACTAATAATAATAATAATAAGTATTCTATAAATCAACACTATAACCTTCCACACTGTTTCTTTAAAGAAAGATTTTTAAATTAAACTAATCAGTCTAATAAAATCTCATTTTCACAGATGAATTACTTTATTTTGTATCCTGATTACTGAACAAACTGTAAACAAACAAATACAGATACTTCAATAATAAGTTCATTATCTGTTAATTAATTAATAAAATAAATACTTAAAGCCAATTTAACAGAGCTCATACAGTTAGTAACGTATTCTATAATGATAATAACAATAATAATAACAACAATAATGATTTTGCTCCGAGAATTAACCTGAGAACTACAAACTGACCCTTACCGGCTCCGGTTGTTCTGTCCGTCGCCATTAACCTGTTCAACTAGTTCAGGTAAACTTTATAAACACTTTCTCAACCGGAATAAAGCTCTGTACCCGGTTTAAATGTTCCCTCCTGAACCTAAAGTATCTTAAGACACGAGTACTTACGGTGTGAACGATCAACAGCCGGTAAAAGACGTTAAATGCTCCACTGACGGTGTTTCTACCGGATCTTCTGCCGGTAAGAACTGAAGCGCCGCCGCTCAACAGCTGTCTTTATACCTTCCTGGGTGACTGCGTCATTACGTACACATCTTACGGTCTTACGTAATAAGTGACTTTCTCATAAGGACTCATATTACCGATATTAACGATGAGAACAGAAACTGTGTTTCTACTATAATTCTGCTTTATTTTAGGTTGTTATTATTATTATTTTATATTTCTCTTACTAATCTGTATATATATACATATATTTTACAATGTAAACGTGTGTTTCCTGTGCCAATAAAGCCCCTTTAAATTGAATTAATTATATTAATAATATTAAAAGCATAATGTGATCACAGTAAGAGCACTTTAACAAGCCTGGATTATAATAAATGTGTGTCTACTATCAACGGCTCTTCTTAAAATATCTTTGGGAAGTGAAAGTGAAACAGAAAAACAATGACAGCAAGAAAAAAAGGAGCTTCCACTGAATTTAATCTAAACTGATGATTACTCAATAGTTACAATGCGGCATGTTGTCATTCTGACTCTCAGATGTTTATACAAAGATTTATTTTCTTAACTTTAAAGGAATTTTTCAGCAAATTCCCAAAGTCACAGAGGAAATTCCCAGAACCTCTGTGTGTCATGTGAGCAATAAAGTCAAACTACTTTATTATATTTCATTTTATTGCTTACTGGGTGATAAATAAACTCAAAAAGGAAAGGGTTCCCGGTGTAGCAGGGTACAGAACTGAAACTGAAACACAACCTGCACTTTATGGCTGACAAAGAATCTCAGCTCTACAGGAACTCTTCCTCCTCTTCGTCACTGCTGCAGCGTCTCACTGTGCACCAAAGTAATATTTACATCATGACTCACCTGCACGCGCTCACTCTTTCACTTATGAACCAACAATGACTTGAACGTCTTGTAAAATGCTCCACAGAAATAGAAAAGTGGCCGTCTGGAGTTGGACCTGCTGAGTGAGTGTACAGTGTTAAAGGCTCCACCACAGGCTCTTAAAGAACTTCCCCAGCTGTGCCTCAGTCTTACAGTCACATGATGAATGTCACGTTCAGGGCGTTTTGTAGACGCAGTGACAGAAGCTCCAGTGTTCATATCGGACCATCAGAACATAAAGTTAACACAGATTCCTCAAACAGTAACTGACCTCTCATTAATGTCTGTATCACATTATATCTGTAATAATGACTGATAATGATCACTTACAGTTACCAGATATTGATTGATTGTACACATTCATCACATATAATATGATTACAATCAATATAATGTGACATTAAATCATGTTTGCTGCTGTTTTTTAAAGCTTTCAGCTGTTTTATGAGTCTGATCCAAGATAAGAAAAGAAGAAAAGCTGTTTAAAGGTGAAGTGGCATCCAGCAGCACGAACTCCTCGATCCAGAGCTAAAGTTTGGTTCTGGGCTGTACAAACATTTCTCACAACAGATCCTCCTCATTGTTTCACACAAGCTTTAATGTCCAAACTGAAATATTTCAACATCTATTAAATGAATTATCACTTTGCAGATGTCCTGATGTTTTATTTAGCGCCACTGTGAGGTTGAAAGTTAGGATTTTAGGATTTTTGGAGTTCAGACTGCCATTGAATCTGGTTCAACCATCAGTTTCCTTTTCGTTTAGATCCATATTTAATTTGTGGTTTCTGTCCTTCCTCCTTTACTGTCTCTCTGCAGCTTTCAGGGTGTCTTTGTCTGCTGGGGTTAACATGATCAAATCACTGCTGTTGTTTCCTTCTTTACCTTTAAAATGATATATTTACAGGATCAGCTTCTCTTTCTTTTTATAAAAGGAAAAGATAGTTTTCAGTTTCCATCCCTCTCTCCGTTTGTTGTGTTTATTCCTGTTTATTAGAATAAAAACCTTTTTGTTTGGATTGTTTCTTCCCTCATCCCCCGGACATTTCAGGGACAGGGCTGCACTATTCATTTAAATATTATTACAGTGTGACAAACAGCATTATAATGAAGAACTGTAGTGCTGCAGAGAACCTGCTCCACAAATCAACTTCTCTACATTCAACGTGTTTGTTTGGTACAAAAGACCCCAAAATGTCACATCATCATAATTTTAATAGTGTTTTTTTGTGAAAAGGAAAACTGTGTTCAAAAATTATACTACTACTAATCATGAACTGTATAGTGAGTATGTTAGTGTGATAATGTTAGCATTCAGCTCAAAGCAGCACAGTACAGCCTCACAGTGTGGATGTTAACTCTGTTTACTTAAGATCATTTTGATATATTTAATATATTATTGTCTCTGAACTTTAACCTTTTGGCCTTGATGCACTTTTGATTGAATTTTCATTTAATTGTTGTTTTTTTAGGAGGTCAGATAGATATTAACTGAAATATTATGAACCTGATGAAGGTCGACTGTTTGGAGACAGTGTGAAAATGTTACTGTTCAAAATGAAAGAAAAACATTGTGTGTTCACTATTTTTATATCTGAATGTTTAAATTTGCATTAACAAGTGACTTCTTCATCACAGTCGATGGTTTAAGAAAGAGGAAACTCTTCAGTTTAGTAACTCAGATTTCCCCAACAGTCATTCAGTTAGGAAATAAGTTCAGAGGCAAAACTACAGCAACATCTTTAAAATAAAACGAAACAAACTTCAAGTAATCCCATCATCATCATCGTCATCATCATCGTCATTGTCAGCAGCAGCAGAAAAATAAGAAATACAAAAGCAAAAGAAACAAAAACACCAACACATGTCCAACCTAAGAGCAAACTCAGGTAGAAACCCTTTAAAACTAGAATAATTTAATAGTTTAAACAACAATAATGCCAGAAAAGAATCCCAAGGTTAGAAAAATGCCATGCAGAACCAAACGCTGATGAGAGACACAGTTTAATACAAAGTTTCTACTCAATAGAAAGAGTGATAAGAAGCGTGTGTGTACGTCATTCAGAGCGGGCTTAGCTTATTACGACAGTCATAGAGAGTTCATTTACACAGTTCGTCTGTTGGTCGCCTGCAGACGCTCAGAGGAGGGTCTCGGTGTCGGCTCACAGCGCGAGCCGTCGCAGGACTCCGGCAGCACAAATATTACACAGAAATAACCCGGTCAGGTTTCCATGAAAGGCTGCTGAAAGCTCTGGAAGAAATCTAGTAAGTGGACCTTTGATAACGTTGGAGCTAAATATCAGGATGGTTCAACGTCCCTGAATTTAAAACCACATACGTTCATTTAACTTAAAAGTGTTCAGACTCATTACAAACAATTCGTATTTTGTAAGTTAAAAACATTCTTGATTAAGCTGCTTTTACTTATTTTAAGTGACACTGACTTCATTTTGTTATTTGTACTAAGAAAACAAAATATCTAGTAAAAAGTATTTAAAACATTTATGTTTCTGTAACTGAGCGAGTGTCACTTTGTAAAAGCTAACAGCTAACGACTGACGCAAATGAAATAATTTACATCGATTGTTTGTTAGCGTTTTGCTAACATTAGTCATCAGATGTAACTAGCTTGTTAATGTAGCTATAAAGTAGGTCTGTACAGTAATCAGTGAGGTTACAGAAAACTAGACCACTGTATTTGAAAGAATTCGTACACGCCCCCGAGTGCAGGATGACATTGACTACTTTTTAGCGGTTTGACTCTAAAATATCGTTAAAAATACTAAAAACGGACTTTGTTTGTCATTGTTGGGACAGAAACTGGAGAAGAAATATGTGATAAAAACGATTAAAAATCAATTCTGACTTCATGGGAACTTTAAAAAAGAATGAACACTTTCTATAAAAAAGGATCATTATTCACCTCGGAAAGAAGTTTAACTAAACATCCACTTACTAGAAATCTTCTGGAGCTTTCAGCCACATCAAGGACATCTGTGAAATGCTGCTGAAAGCTCTGGAAGATTTAAAGTAAGTGGACATTGAGTAAATAAATGCTCACTGCTCCGCCTCCTGCAGCTTTAATGTGGAATAAAAAACACAAACAGAAACATAAAATGTAAGAAATGATTAATAAAGACGTATTAATAATTTGGGTGCCAGACTTCTGACGACGGCTCCGTGAGTCTTTAAAATGTTTCCCCACAAACACTCGGGAGAGCAGTTCCTACTTTATATGTTCACTGACAGGTTTTATCAGAAGAGAGCTCACAGGGTTGTTTGACTTCAATCCACTGACATACACACAACAACAACAACAACATAACAACAACATAACAACAACAATAATAAAAACAACGAGACAATCGTATCCCCAACCAGCACTGAAGTAAGATTGCACATTCGATGCTCCTCGGTGCTAAACGCTCGACTACGGTAAAAACATTAATGTAATGTAAACCACTGAGAGAGAATGCAAACAAAAAGACTTCTATTCATATTGCATTGAATATGGCTCAGATTCTTCTTTTCTTCTTGGATAAATGCTGCACACACACACACACACACACACACACACACACACACACAGTCTGTAGTTCTGTAGCTGCACAGAAAACAGATTGAAGCTTCTTC